TAGTACTATTGTTCCTAAATTACAGTTCACTCACTTCATGAAATATTTTGTAGCCTTTTACCAAGAAGTATAGGTAAAAATAAAAAATTGTGCTTAACAATAGAAAGCAAATTAAAAAAAATTAAAAAGGTTATAAACCATATATATTATAACTATATTATGGAAACTAACCAAAATGTATATTTAAAAAGATACTTATTTCCACAGAACAAAATAATTTAGTTCCTACGGAGACATCTGAGTTATTACAAGAAGGCTGTGAATCCATGCATACACATGCATCTTCTCAAATACTAAATACCAAAAAGAGTCACTAGGAGATCACTATATTTTTTGATATAAAGAAATGGGAAACATGTCCCAAGGTTAAGTACAGAAGAAGGATGCCTACTGTCTCCATTTCTAATTGCCACTGTACTGAAGATTCTGGCCAATGTAATGGGAAAAAAGTGAAAAGTATGAAAAATGAAGATCAAGACAGAAGAAGTAAAGCTTTAATATTTGCTGATGGAGTCAGTGCCTATGTCTTAGTGAGTAGGGCACCAGCCCCATATACCGAAGGTGGCAGTTCAACCCTGGCCAAACTGCAACAAAAAATAGCCGGGCGTTGTGGCAGGCACCTGTAGTCCCAGCTACTTGGGAGGCTGAGGCAAGAGAATTGCCTAAGCCCAAGAGCTGGAGGTTGCTGTGAGATGTGATGCTATGGCACTCTACCAAGAGCGACAAAATGATACTCTGTCTCATATATATATATATATATATATAATATACCAAAATACAAAATATACAAAAAAGTACACATATATATATTTGCTGATAACACAACTGTCTCTAAAAATATATACAATATAAACAACAAAATACAAACAAAAAATATGTACACACACGCACACACATATATATATATATTTGCTGATGACACGATTGCTTATACAGGGAAATGTAAGGAATCTATGAATACCTACTAAAACTAGTAAGTGACTTTAGCTAGGTTTCCTGATATAATGTTGTTATACCCACTGTATTTTTACAGATTAGCCAAGTACAAACAGTGAATTTTTAAAATTCTATTTACAATACTGTTGAAAAAACACATGATACATTTAATAAAACATATGTAAGATATGTATACTAAAAACTAAAAAACACTGCTGGCAGAAATGAGAGAAGACTTAAATGAAGAGGCATAATAAGTTTGTGGACCAAAAGACTCAATAAATATCAAGACATCAATTGTTCTTAAAGAAATGAAGAGGCAAGCACAACCTGGTAAAAAATATTCATGAAACATATACTTGATAAAGGACATTTTTATATGTACAGAATATATAAAACACACCAAAAACTCAATAATAAAAAGGCAAACAATTCAATCAGAAAATGACTAAATGATATGAACAGATGTCACAAAAGATATATGAATGGCTAATAAACACAAGAAAATATTCAATGTTATCTGGGAAATGCAAATTAAAACCACAAAGAGATACTACTACTCACACAATACATGGCTACAATCAAAAAGACTAACATCAAATAATGACATAGACGTGATAAAGTAACCAGAACTGTCAAGGTGAAAGTATAAAATGTAAAATGGTAAAACCAAAATTTCTAAGAATTTTCAGCTACTCTGTGACTTAGCAATTCCTCTCAGAGGTAGTTTTCCACGATAAATGAAAATAAATGTCAAGGGCCACAAAAATAAGTATAAGAATGCTCATAGCAGCTTTACTCAGAATACCCTAAAACTTGAGATAGCTAAGGTTCATGTGATTGCTCTTAAAACCCTTGGGATCTCCAGAGTAGCCTTTTATATACTGTTGCGGAGCCAGGACTCTAGGTAGCGCCCACGAAACTGCCAGGACATGGAGCACTGTACAAGCTCGCTCAGGGTATGACTCCCTGTAAGTCCACTGTCTCAGTCAGGTAAGGCTCTCCATCAGGAGGAGCCAGTTGTCTCAGTCAGAGGTGCCTGAGCACCTCAAAGATGCAGCAGTCAATTTTAGTAAGAACCCCGACTAACTTCTCCCATGGCTATTCATAGAAGTGATCCCTTGGCTATTTACACCACAGGTGTGGAGACTGCAAAGCAATGATGTACATGTTCTCCTGCTTTATAACGAGACCAATCCCTTCTCCATTCCCTTATTACCAAGGTGTTACTTTTCATGTATACTAGTGAGATGACTGGAAGCTGGGGGTCCCTAGATGGCTTCAGGAGGGGTCTGGTCATCCAAAAAAAAAAAAAACAACTGTGTGATTTAATAGGAGAAGAGAGTGGGGCTGAATGTTGAGTTTATCACTAATGGCCAATGATATCATGTTTATGTAATAAAAGCTCAAAAGGACTAGGTTCTGATAAGCCTCCAGAAGGCTAAACACTTGGAGGTTCTTAGAGTGTGGCACACCCAGGTAGTACATCTTTCCTACCTGGCTGTTCATCTGTATCCTTGGTAATCTCCTTTATAACAAACAAGTAAATGTAAGTAAAATGTTTCCTTAACTTCTATAAGCTGTCAAATCAATATAACCAAGGAGGGTGTCTTGGAAACTCTGATCCATAGCAGGTTTGTCAGAAGCAAACCTGTGCTTTTAACTGGTATCTGATGAGGCCTGGGGCGGGAATGGGAGGAGTCTTCTGTGACTGGACCCTCAACCTGTGGGATCTGACTGGTAAGGACAGGTAGGTAATAGGGAAAGAAGTAAAAGAAAAGTGGGCAAGTGCTGAAACAGAGGAAACAGTTCCTTAGCTTAGACATGAGCAGGGTGGGAAGACAGGGCTATCACAAAAGCAGAACTAATCAAGATTGTGGATAGAAAGTTTTAAAATTCAGAGCCTTTTCAACTCTTAAGACCCCCATAAAAGGACTGATCAGTAGAAAGTTTTTAAAGAGAAAGTTAGCATCCCATGATTAGATCAACACCTTATTAGTATCTTGGAGACTTTCTAAAGAAGTTAGCTAAGAATAGTGTGGGGTCAGCTTGATTGAAACCCTAGGTGAAAGAAATGCATAAGCATTAGATGTAGGCAGACCAAAGCTAGGGTTGGGGAATAAATACAAGAGAAAAGTTTGTAAGGGGTCCTTTCCCATTTGTCAGGAAGAGACCCACAGCTTGTTCTGTCTGCTTATAAACTTAAGCGTGTTCTATTTGCTTAAAAGAATTAAACTTTTCTGTTAAATTGTCACTGCTGCTTGGTTTCTTTCCTCTTTTTGTGCCAATAGAGTCAAAGTGCTTTCAGATTCTAGGGGCTGCTTGCTAGTGGCACCCACAGAAAGCCTGAACCGAGCGGGCACCTTCATAGATCCAACACTGATGTTACCTCCAGTTGATAGTGTCAGAATATGAATTTGATTAAAGGACACTCAGGTACTGTTTGCTGGGGAAATCAACTACAGAAAATAACTGGTAGCTGATGAGCAGAAATCACCAAATATTTGGGTGACCAGAGGTCACAGAAGTGTTCTATGTTGTACTAAAGGTAAAGAATATGAAAATTAGTTTTGTTTTCCCCGTAACTCTTAGATTCCATTAACAGAAGAATAAATAACTGTGGTATATTCATACAGTGGAATATTACTTAGTGATAAAAGGGTAAAGCTATTGGTACTTGTTACAAGATGGAAATTCTCTAAATATTATACTGAAAGATGCATTACACCAAAGAGTACACTGTATGATATCATTAATATGAAGATATAGAAGCAGCAAAATTATTTTTGGTAGAAAAAACTAAAACAAGAATTTACTTATGGAAGGTTAGTGTGGGGATTGGTGGAAGAGATATAAGAGAATGTTTTTGGATGACAGCACTATTCTTTATCTTGATGGCGGTTTGGGTTACACATGTGTTAGACATCTGTTAAAATTCACATAATGTATACTTAAAATTTAATTGATGTGAATTTTATCTCAAAAGTAAAAAAAACTCAAAGAATGATCAAATTTTAGTTAAATTATATGTATCCTGAAATATTTAAAGTATGTTGATGTTTGCCAACTTCTCTGAAATGCATTAAAAAATAACATGGATTTATGGACAGATATGTGGAAAATAGATATAGTAAAATGTTAATTATAAAATCTAGATGTGATATATAGGAATTCACTGTAATTTTTTCCAATTTTTCTGTATGGTTAAATTTTATTCAAAATAAAATTTTTGAGGAAAACCAGGAACTGATGTTTTGATTTTTTTTTTTACTTTTTTAATATCCTAAGTTCCCTATAATGTGCAATAGTCTTTTTAATTTTAAACATTTTTAAAAGAAAGCAAACCAATGACATTTACTAAAATCAAATATAAAGAATTTCAGAACAAATTAAAAATCTCATTTTAGGTTCAATGAAAGTTAACATTCACTATTTATATAATTCAATGTCATAAAATTCAGTGAGAACCTTCAGTAAATTTGGTTATGTAGCAAGTCACTGATTTTGAACTAATTAAAAAATTTTAAATCTAATTAAATGTGCTTTAAAAAGTTTTTTCTTTTAATGCCTTACATTAAACTTCCCTTATACTCAAAAAACTCTCCCATATCATTCTGTATTAATGTCTGCTCACTAAAAGTACATCATTTCTTAGACTCTGTAATAATCAACCAGGACAACATTTCTTAGGAAAGCTGAATTGGCTGTTTACTTTCAAAAGAGTTTTATCTCTAGAAAAGCACAAGTTTTATGCCAGGTGTTAGTCAATTGTGTCTTGTTAATTTCCAAAACAAACAGAGGAGAGTGCCATGCAATTTCCATTACACACACTTCACCATTAGTACCAGGGTTTATTAGCTTGACACTGCTCCAGGAATAATGGTTTCATTCCTCACTGAAATAAAATAATGTGCCACATAACTCAGCAATGCGGAACTCCTGAAAAATGTTGTCATGTTAAATACAGTCATATTTTTCACTTTTCATTATGTCAAAACAAAGGCCATTTGCCATAAAGAACTCACTCTGGGTATGGAGAATTCCCAGATGGGCCTCAGACTTACCTCATCGCTATGTTATATGATTCTGGATGAATACAAGTTTGGTCCAAAGGATTTGGCTTCAGTAAAACATCTGCTGTAGTTTTGCGCTTCTTTTTGCTCTGCTTCTCATTTGTGACCTCAACACCTGCTGAAGATGTCACAGCAACTCCTTGAGTTTGGTCTGAAGACTCTGTCTGCTTACTACTGTAGCCATTTAAAACAAAAAGGGGGGAGGGGGATTTTTTAAAAAGAGGCAGTTCAGCATATGAGTGTCTTTAATTAAAAATGTACTTATTTCTCTGCTATACAAACATACAAAAACAGCAACCAGATTCTGACTTTTCACTTCATAGAAATTACCACCAATTTGTTTAAGCCATTGCTAGTACGGTTTTCTGTTACTTAAAGTCAAAAACATTCTTAGCTGATTCAGTATGTACAATTGGGACTCAATAGAGAACAGAGAAAAATGAAATGAAATGAAATAATAATGAGAAGATTTCTCAGAGCTAAAGAAAAGCACAAGTTACTGAGGATAGAATAGAATGGATAGAAAAAGACTCATATTTGACATACTGTGGGGAAACCTCAGAAAGCAAATAATTTTAAAAATCCCAAAAGGCTTTCAAGAGAGAAAAACAAAACAGATTACTTTGAAGGGATCTGGAATCAGACTAGCATCAGATTTCTCACTGGCAAACATCAGACATCAGAACATAGTGTAACAATGTCTTAAAAGTTCTGTGAGAAAATGATTTTGAATCTAAAATCACATACCTAGCCAAACTAGCATTCAAGTAGGAGGGCAAATTAAATCATTTCCAGACATATAAGAACTTAAGTATAACTCACATATCCTCTCTAAAAAGAATTTATTAAGGATTAACTCCAGCAAAAACAGTGAATTTAAGAAAAATGATAACATGATAAGCACAAAAATCATAAAAACTTACGAAGTTAAATAACTACTTGTGAATAATGTAAAATACATACATACATATATATATATATATATATATATATATAAAAAATAGTCTAAAACTAAAATCTCAGGTCACCTCATCATGGGAGGCAGACAGAACTGAAGAAAGGAAGACTAGGAATGGTCTGAAGTTTCTGGCCTCCTCTGTGAGAAAAGAGACACCTATTAACTCCAGAGATCAGTTCAAAGCAAATAAGAGGATAAGGAGAGATAAAAATGAAGTGGTAAAATGAGAGAAATAAGGAGAAAAATTGTTAATTGAAAGATCTCATAAACAGAATAAAAGGAAAAGATGAATCAGACAGCATGATGGAGAAGAAAATAAGATGAAATATTAATGCCAGACATTATCAATAAATACAATAAATTAATATAAAATTTAGCAAAACTATGAGATCCAACTATATGTTTATAAAAGCCATGTCAAAATTTAAACGCCACAAAAAGTACAAAAATAAAAAAAAAAATACCAAGCATATTCTGAAAAGGCAAATACACTAACATTGCCAGGGGAAAAAAATAAATTTCAAAGTAAAAAACATTAAATGAGATAACAATATTCCATTTTGAATAAAGATACAAATTATCAAGGAGATGTAATAGTAATGCATCTTCAAGTAACCTAATAATTAGATGAAAAAAATCTAAAGCTTTAAGCTGGCATTTTCATGAATAAGGCACTGATTAAATTATGGCCGATTCATACAATTAAATATCATGCAGACATTACAAATAATAATAATAATAATAATAATAATCTATATGTAATTGTTTGGAAATAGGTCCAAATCACCTCATTTTGTGAATACACCAAAGTTGGCCCTGCCTTAGGAGTTGCTCATTTAGAATAATTTCCTTCCTATCTCTGCGTGGCTAGCTCCTTCATTTCATTCAAAAGTCTGCTCAAATAACTCTTCAAAAATAACTCATCTAAAGAAGTTGTACTGCTTCCCAAGATAGTGTCATGTGTTGCTGTTTTAATTTTTACAGCACTTTTACTATCTGAAACTACTTATTTTACTAGTTTATTGTCTATTCACACATTGAAATATAACTTCATGAGAATAAGAAACTTGCTGACTTGTTCACTGCTATATTCCCAGCACCTAGCACAGAATAGACAATCAGCATTAACTGAAGGAAGCCCTGAAAAACAGATGCCTAGAATTTATACCAGTCAGTACAAGGTTGGGTAACAATACCAAGAAAGGGTGACAACAGAACCAAAAGTTCTTTAACAATCACCTGCAAAATGTTCGGATATAATCTTGATTAATTCTGATGAAGCCAGCACACTGTTGGAAGGATTTTGGACCCATTCCTTTCACTTTCTTCAGCTGTTCTCGGTTGATGAAGGGCCCATTTTTCTCTCGCCATTCAATGATATTTTTGGCCCTGTTGGCATTAAGTCCTGCGATATGCCTAAAAAACAAGAATAAAGATCTTATCTGAAACGAGAATGATATAAAACATTTAGATCATAAAAACCAATTGCAATGACATATTATCATATGCCTAAATTAATCCAAAAGACAATAAAAAGGACAGAGAAGAGTTGTCTAAAAGAAAAGAAAGAAAATAAAATGAAACATAGTAACAAAACTCATACCATGTTTCCCCGAAAATAAGACACTGTCTGAAATTTATTTTTTTCTCAAGAAGACACACTAGGGCTTTTATTCAGGGGATGACTTCCTCTCTGCGCCAAAGTCGCATCACTAGGTCTTATTATGGGGTAGGGTTTGTAGTTAACAAATGCATAGAAGTCCTGCTAGGGCTTATTTTTGGGGTAGGTCTTATTTTCAAGGAAACATGGTAACTATCATAAGATGTTCATAAACTGGTTAACCTAAGGCACCAGCCACATACACCTAAGGTGGCAGGTTTGAATCCAGCCCGGGCCGCCAAACAATGATGGCTGCAACCAAAAAAATAGCCAGGCATTGTGGTGGGTGCCTGTGGTCCCAGCTACTTGGGAGGCTGAGACAGGAGACTCGCTTAAGCCCAGGAGTTGGAGGTTGCTGTGAGCTGTGAGGCCACGGCACTCTACCCAGGGGGACAGCTTGAGGCTCTGTCTCCAAAAAATAAAAAAATAAAAGTAAACTGGTTAACACTGATATAAGAAAAATAACTGTTCCCTAAAGTGTTTCTACAATATTTACATTCCTTATATTTCTAAATCAAATAATAATGTCGCCTATTTCTGGTTAGTTTAGTAGCATTAAGTTACAACAGCTACAACTGTGTTGTACTAGCTCCTTCCCCTTTTTGGGGGTCAGCTCATTTTACAGAGTTGAAGCATAGAAGGATATTTACCCTTGAATGTGATGGTTAGTATAAAAATATAAAATCTGTACAATTAAGTAGTTTGCTTGGTGTTAATTAAAATATTCAGAAAATCTTAATTTTATAATCACATTCCATATATGGAATTATGAAATGTCTGTAGCTATGGTAAAAAAGCAGCACCTTAAATATAAGGGATATTTTCCATGATAGTTGTTTTAGTGAAAAAGGTCTAAACCAGGGAATTTCATGCTGCATAAGCAGACTTATACAATAAATGCAAAACTATGAACAAAAAAAGCAATTCTTCTATAACCACAGGGAAAAAAAGACATTGTATATAAGATATGATTATACTATGATGGAAATTTTGACAGGTGATTTGTGGAATTTGTATAAAAATATGTAACCATACCTTGAACTCTCAGAACTTGTTTTCTGGTTCCTCCCAGCTGTAACAGATGCAGGAAAGAGACTGCACTAGTGAAAAATAATCTACTTGCATGTGGTGGGAAACAGCTATTTTCCATATTAGCCTTATTTAAATCCTATTAGCAACACTAATGTACTCAATGGTTACCATATGCTCTTCACTTTAGACTCGCAATATTAAAAATGATAATGTGAACTGTTACAATTTTTTTTTTTTTTTTTTTGAGACAGAGCCTCAAGCTGTCCGCCTGGGCAGAGTGCCGTGGCATTACAGCTCACAGCAACCTCCAACTCCAGGGTTCAAGCAAGTCTCCTGCCTCCACCTCCCAAGTAGCTGGGACCACAGGCGCCCGCCACAACGCCCGGTTATTTTTTGGTTGCAGCCGTCATTGTTGTTTTGGCGGGTCCAGGCTGGGGATTCGAACCCGCCACCTTAGGTGTATGTGGCTGGCGCCTTAGCCGGTTGAGCTATAGGCGCCGGGCCTACAATTTTCTTCTTAAATGATGCCTTCCCCTCTGACTAATTACCTACCTAGAACAATGTATAAACCCACAGATCTTCTATATTTGACAACTTTATTCACATGTGTCCCCTTGTCCCAGTAGAGTTTAGGACAGACAGTTAAACTCAAGATTCTGTGATCTGCAGCCACAGACTTCTTGTCTCACCTTAACAAAACTTCTGAACAGATGTTAATATCCACTCCCACAAAGCTGACACATTCTTCTACAACACTATCCAGTGTTGCCTTAAGTAAAGTCTGAGATACATCATGCTGAAAAGACAAAGATCAAAAATCAATCAAAAGTGAAGCAGGTATCATTCTTGGACTATTCCATTGCTCTGCCTCTATTCTTGGGAGCTGGCTAACATGCACCATGGTAAATTTCCTTATTCCTTTGAAAGACACCATTGGCAGATGCAATTGAGCCAAACTCAAGGAAATCTGTGTTTTCTTACTCTTACACCTGTCATGAATATAAGAACATCAGTATTTTTCTCTTGTCTACAATTCTGCCTAGAGCAGAGGTTCTAAAACTTTAGCTTTCATTAAAATCACCTGTATATCTTGTGTTAAACCACAGGTTGATGAGCCCCACAACCAGAATTCTGAATCAGTAAGTCTAGGTGGGGCCTAAGAATTTGCATTTTAACAAGTTTCCAGGTTATAATGTGGCTGTTGGACCACAGCTGGAGACACACTGGTCCCTATCACTTATGCATTCCCTGTATTCTGTTCCTAAATTCTTAAGAAAAGAAAACATTAAGTTATAGGAAGCAGTACAATAAATTAGAAATCAAACTCTTACATTTTATCAAATTGAAGATAGTATTGTTTATATGAAGCACCATTATTTTATATGACACTAAGAAAGAAAAATATACTGTCAATTAAACCATGACACATGCTTTCTTATTGCTTAAAATGAATTTCTAAATATTGAAGAAAGAAAATAACACTAAGAAAATATATTGCCAATTAAACCATGACACATGCTTTCTTGTTGCTTAAATTTAATTTCTAAATATTGAAAGAGCTCTTTAAGACTCACTTAGACATTTTAAAAATAATACATCATGTACAAATAAAAAGAAAAACACAAGCACTCTAAACTGGCTACGGTGTTCCTAAAATTTCTTCACATTCAGTGTTTAACTCTCTGAATCACTTTCAGACTCAAGGTTTTTTAGGTGTGAATGTTTTCTTTACAATATTACTTTTTATGCTATCAGGACCCTTGGTAACACAGAATTTCTTTTTTTTTTTTTTT